GTACCAGGGTATCATGGGACTGTACCAGGGAATCATGGGACTGCACCAGAGAATCATGGGTCTAGACCAGGAAATCATGGGACTGTACCAAAGAATCATGGGTCTATGTCAGGAGATCATGGGTCTGCACCAGGGAGTCATGGGACTGGACCAGGGAGTCATGGGACAACATCAGGAAATCATGGGTCAGCACCAGGGAATCATGGGTCAGCACCAGGAAATCATGGGACTGTACCAAGAAATCATGGGTCTGCGCCAGGAGATCATGGGGGATGCACCAGGGAATCATGGGACTGTACTAGGAAATCATCGAACTGCACCAGGGTATCATGGGACTGCACCAGGAAATCATGGGACTGCACCAGGAAATCATGGGACTGCACCAGGAAATCATGGGTCTGCACCAGGAAATCATGGGTCTGCACCAGGAAATCATGGGTCTGCACCAGGAAATCATGGGTCTGCACCAGGATATCATGGGTCTGCACCAGGGAATCATGGGACTGCATCAGAAAATCATGGGTTTGCACCAGGGAGTCATGGAACTGGACCAGGGAATCATGGGACTGCATCAGGAAATCATGGGTCTGCACCAGGGAATCATGGGACTGGACCAGGGAACCATGGGTCTGCACCAGGGAATCATGGGACTGCATCAGGAAATCATGGGTCTGCACCAGGGAATCATGGGACTGCATCAGAAAATCATGGGTTTGCACCAAGGAATCATGGGTCCGCACCAGGGAATCATTGGTCTGCACCAGGAAATCATGGGACTGTACCAAGGAATCGTGGGACTGCGCCAGGAGATCATGGGGATGCACCAGGGAGTCATGGGACTGGACCAGGGAGTCATGGGTCTGCGCCAGGAAACCGTGGGACAGCACCAGGGAATCATGGGACTGCACCAGGGAATCATGGGACTGCACCAGGGAATCATGGGACTGCACCAGGGAATCATGGGACAACATCAGGAAATCATGGGACTGTACCAGAGAATCATGGGACTGTACCAAGGAATCATGGGACTGCACCAGGGAATCATGGGACTGCACCAGGGAATCACAGGACTGTACCAGGAAATCATGGGAATGTACCAAGG